TTTTAGCCTTTTTCAAGAGTTTTAACGTAAAATTTAGATAAAAATGCAATTATATGCCAAATTTCGCCACAAATAAAACGAAAAATCGTTATATTTTCGATCTAAAATGTCATTTTAGTGTTTTTTTTAATATTTGAGACAAAAAAACAAACAAATTACCAAATTAGTCTGTCAATAATATTAGGTTTGTACTTTTTGAGCGTTTAAGCAAGATTTTTTTCATAAACGTAATTATTCCGAATCAAAAAATAAATTATTCCTGCTTTTTACGACCGTCTTCCCCTTTTTTCAATCAGAAGAACAAATATTTTGCAAAATTTCGCCTGTTTTCTTTCTAGTTAGAAAAATTAAAATTTTTCAAAAATAAACCACAAAATCACATAATTATACCAAAACTGTGTTTTTTTCTCATTTTCTAGCTTTCTAGAACGTTTTTCAGGCAGAAAACCAGCAATTTAGGTAAAGAATGTGCTTTTTTTGATATTTCTCTAAACTGGGCTAAAAAATTCACAAGCAAATTCAAGCATTTCAAGACATTTTTCCGTCAAAAACAGGCAAAAAACACAAATTTAGATTCACAAGTTATTTTTTCAGTTTTCTTATAAGATAAGATGTGGCTAAACCAGACCTAAAAATCTAACAATTAGGTCAAAAATGGCATAACTTTTACCTTTTTCAAACGTTTTAACAAGTTTTTCAGTCAGAAATGCATTTACTATACGAAATTTCCTCAAAAATAAGCCAAAAAACACTGAATTTTTGTGTTTTCTTAAAGCGCTTAGGTATGTTGTGAGTCAAAATTTCAATCTTTTCGCGAAATAACCGTACAAAAAAATCACCAAATTACATCATAAATAGCAAAATTGCCTTTTTCTAATGTTTAGTACGTATTTTACCTGAAGCAGCAATGATTTCTCAAAATTTCGTTTAAAACTAAACCAAAAATCAGCAAATTACGTTGAAAATTGTCTTTTTCAAGCATTTGAATACATTTTTCTGTCAAAAACAGAATTATTTTATAAAAATGCCTCAAAAATAAATACAAAAACACGAATTTAGGTCCAGAATAAAATTATTGTTCCTTTTTTTTCAATCTCCTGGGTACGTTTTTTAGCTAAAGATTAGTCAAAAATGGCATAATTTTTGCCATTTTCAAACATTTCAAAAACTTTTTAAATTAGAAACGCAACTATTGACGAAATTTCATCAAAAACAAGCCAAAAAACACTAAATTCAGCCAAAAATAATTGCTTTTAAAACAAATTTCCTCTTTTCACGAGGTATCACCTAACCGAACAAAAACATTACCAAATTTGATCAAAAATAGCAATATTTTCTCATTTTTTAAGCGTTTTAGTATGTATTTTAACTGGATCTGCAATTATTTCGCAAAATTTCGTTAAAAATAAACATAAAAATAATCAAGTCAGTTCAAAATGACATTACTTTTGTCTTTTTAGAGCGTTTTAGTACATTTCCATGCAAAAAATAAATACTTTCACAGAATTTTGCCTTAAATCACAGAATAAAGTCAAAAATGCTGTTATTTTTGCAATTTTCAACCGCTTAAACACATTTTAAAAAATGTATAATAAAAACTCCATGTTTGACGTTTTTTTGATCAGTTTCG